TCATGCCCCAACCGCAGCCGCGCGCCCCGCCACCCCCTCCCCCGGCGTACCCGACGCTGCCGCTACCGAAGCGGTAGCCGCTGCCCTGGTCGACGTACGGAACCCCCGCGGCAGAACCCATCTTGCCGCCGGCGCTACCGTCACCGCCGCCTACCATGCCGCTGCCGTACAGGACGCTACCGTTACCGTAGCCGGGACCCCAAAAGGACTGCGAGAACTGCCCGCTGCTGCAGAAGCCGCTCCCCGCGGTGGAAAAGGAGTCCCAGAAACCCCCGTTGAACCCGCGGTTCACCCCGGACAAGGCCGTCGGGAGGGGTCCTCTGGCACCCCCGAGGAGGGACCCGCGGCTGTTGGGGCTGCTGGTGCTGGTGCTCCTGGGGGTTGCTGCTGCGGCCCCAGCGCCACCGCCGGCGGCCGGGGTGGCACCGCCTGCCCAGAAGAACCTCCCTCTCGTGTCCCTGCCGACGCTCGACAGTGGGCCGTTCTGTGGGGGGCACCGCAGACAAACGAGGGGCGGTGAGGGTGGGGGTCGTGGGACAAGGGAGGTCAAGCTTCCTGTCGATGTCCGTCGGCATGTCCACCAGCAGGGTTCAACTATTCTTCGCCCTGGGCGCCAGGCCACAAAATAACGGATCCACACCACCACATCCACCAACAAAAACAGACAGGCTGGGAACATACTTCAAGGAGTCCAGAGGAAGTCTGTGCACGCAAAACACGCCCATGCATGCGTACTGCAAGGTCCAGGAACCATCTGTGTACACAGCAGGGGGAATCCCTCAAATAGTGCCAGCATATGCCGCGCCAGACTCACCGGCAATATACCGCATGCCCAGAACACAACTCAGAGAGAACGAGACAAATTGAATATTATATCCGTATCACGCGACTTCACCATTACAATTAAGCGGGTAAAGACACTAATACGTAAATCAAACCGATACTGCTGCTGTTGCGAGGCTCCCCCGCTCTGTCTGCACCACATAGACAAGCTTGCCTGGCCCACCCCTTTGCTCTTGCGCCTCGCCGACCGCGCGTTCGAGCCCGAAGCTTCCATCGTCTTCATCGCCGATGAGGCGGACGGAAGTCGCTCACCCCCGCCCCACTCCCCGCGCCTCCAGCCGCCGCCTCCCCCGCCTCCTCCGCCGCTACCGCTGACTAACGCCGTCATGAATCTCGGCGTGCCCGCCCCCGGCGTAAACACCGACGTCTGGTTGCTCATCGAAAACAGCGGGGACGGGGGGGGGAGGCCTCGCTGTCTCCTGGCCTCCGAGCCCCCCGTCCCGGCCACCTTCGCCGACCCGATCATCGGCGACATTGCCAAAGACGGTCCTTCGTCGCCTTGCTTGCCTTTCAGCTGCTGCTGCTGCTGCTGGGGCGGCGGCCGCTCGATCCTTCGCGAGGGTTCTTTGGCGGGAGAGGGCAACGGGTCGCTGCCGTCGACGTCGCGGTTGCTCCCGTCCAGTCTGCTCCGACGCCGCGGGTCGTCGTCCCAGGGCATGTCCCGCTGCCGCTCCTGCCGCTGCTGCTGCTTGATACTACTACTTCTACTACCGCTGCCGCTACTCGCGGCCTGAGAGCCGTGCTGCTGCTGTGTATACGACGCGCTACTACTTCTACCACGACCCCCCCCTCCCCCCCCGCCGCCGCCGCCCCCGCCATGGTCAGGGTTTTTCGTGGCACCGACGCCGCCGCTCGCCCACCCACGATACGCCTGATTCTCCGTCACGTAAGAGGAGCCGCCGCCGCCGCCGCCGCCGCCGCCCCCGCCCCCCCCCTGACTCACGCGGCGCTGCGAACTAGAGGGTGTCAGAGGGTTTCCACTCCCCCGGGGAGGGGTTTCGCCGCCCGCCCCACCTCCTCCGTGACTGCTGATACCCCGCTCTAAAATTTCTCCCTCCACCAGTCCCCCGCCTCGGAACTCCCTAGCCCCCTCTACGCTTGCCGAATATGACTCAGCGGCGACCTGGATATTTCGAGGGAGTGGGACGGGGCCATTGAGAGTACGGAGGAGGGGGGGGGGGGGGGGGGGGGGGGGGGGGGCTCCCATGTTTTTTGGCCCCCTGAATATGTCAAACAAAAAAACCCCCCCTCAGGAGGGGGGGTGATTTTTTTCCCCCCGGGGGCGGGCGGGGGGCGACCGCCCGGAGGTGGTTTTTT